CGACCATTTCATCTCCTCTGGTAACAAAAAACATTGTGTCCGTTTTCAGTATGAACGACTTATCTGTGTTTTAAGAAAGTGGAGTAGGATGTGTAGAGTTGCTATTACAGCAGTGTACTTTAACAAGATGCTAATGCTAAAGGCAATGAAGGACCATATGCACTGCTTAGGCTGTTGTGCCTTACATGGGTACATGTGTAAAAGTAGACAGACAGGACTCATCTGTTACTAAAGTATTAATATTTTCCCTTTTTAATCAGCTGTCTGGCTTTTGCTTCTCAAATTACATTCTTTGTTGCATGTTACTGAAATTGACCACAATTTGATTTTAGCATCTTTTCTAATGATTCCTAACAATTCTAGTGACCAATGACATTTAATTTCATATGTCCAGCTGGATTTGCTCTGAAGTTTTTAAGGCACTCAAAATCCTCCCCATGCACCATTTTCTGTTAATCAATTTGTACAATGATGAAGAATTTTCACTATATATTTTGAGCACTTTTCAGCCGTCAGAGGACCCGTGCTGGTGAAATATTATTATGGAGTGTAAATATATAGTTATTTAAAAATGGATTGCTCTGTGAGGGCCTTGGCATTTTTATGTCCTTGTGATAATGGTTAAGAGGCCTTAGATGAGTTGTGTGCAATAATCCTTATTGGTTGTTAAGGGTGCATATCGATTGGCTCAAGCAGCCGTCAGTGTGTCCTTACTTTCATCTCCACTGACCTACAATAATTACATAGGTCTGTCAGATTTTCTAAACAGCTTAACATTAATGTGTACTCATTCTAAATCTTACATTTTTGAAGAGAATTACACAATTCTGGGTTTTTTAGACGCACCTTGGTCACACTGTGTTTCTGCTGACAATGATTGTTGTTAACATGCTGAAATGTAACGTCTTTTATTGGGTTAACTTCTGTTTTTATATATTAATGCCACCTATACAAGGTGAGCTCTCTCCAGCCGCATGGCAGTGTTACTCGCAAGTGACTGACTCGTCGGGTTCTGTTCCTTTCCACATTGTCAAACAAGACTACAAATGTGTCTGTGATTGGAGCTTTTTCATCTGTAGATCGGCATACAGTATGTGGCAGTTTTGATTTCATCACAAAGTGGATGTGATCCTGGCAGAACCCCAAAGCAGAAAACTAAAGCTTATTCTTCTACAAGATTGTTTGTATACCACTGCTGTCATATATGTGTAGTGTGGCCCTTGTTTTGTGTTAAGGTGCTAGTCTCTGAGGTGGTTCAATGAAAATCTGTACATATAAAGGAAAGTACACAATCTAATACTGTCAAAGAGTGGTTGTTACTTGTGTGATGGCTTTAAAGCAGTGCATAGAATGTAACTTTAATATAGAAAAGAAAGACAAGCCGAAGTGAACTGATTACATGGCAGCCTTAATTAACTTTTTAAGATTTACAGGCACAATTAACTGGTAGGCAGCGTTAAATGAAACATCAAAGTTAACGTCAAAAGAAGCATTTTATTTTCACAAAGCACTGATTAACAAGGTAGTATGCATGAATCAGGGACGTTTTAAGGCTTACTAAACTGATGATTACAAGCATATAAGCAAGCAGCATATATGAAACTTTGGTAAACATTCCTTCGGTTTTAGGTTAAAAGATGTACCTACATTACCCACAATGCAACTTGATTGCAAACAATTTGGTCCCAAGTAGTTATCTGCTGATTCACAGTACTACAGGATACACCCATCTAACCGGGAAAAGTGCAGAATGCAATTGCAATCATAAATCCTGTTGATAATAAAAATTCAAAATCCCTCCCTGCTTTTCTTAAATGCCCCATGTTTAAATCATTATTGATTTTAAAATCCTCTGAAAATGCACTGAGGGAGAACAAACTTAAAATAAAAGCAGATATACTAAAAACATTGGAGAAGGTAGAAGGTAGCAATAAAGAAAAATGGCTAAAATAAAATAAAAACAAACTCTTGTGTAAGGTCATTAAAACTTGGAATCATTCTAATATGAGAGATAACGGTAGTCAGGCAGTGAGGTAATTTTTGAGGCTCGACATTAAGTGAGACCTCCAAATCTGTAGGGGTCCCACAGTCAGTGGAAGAGTCGCCGCACCAATCTGGTGGTGCGTGTGGAGAGGTTTGTCTGAGTCATGTCTGCAAAAGACACATTTGGTAAGTAAATCTGTGCTTCTGATGTACAGAAAGAATGATCCATTGCTGTAAAATATACCACATACATCCTATATAGCACTGTAATACAAGTTTTTAACTTGGACAAAAACTGTAGAAGTCATGTCTCCAGCTCACCTGCAAAGTTTAGCTTATATCTGACGTTCTTGACCATAAACATCATGCTGCCTGTCGGGGTCTTTTGGTACTGGCACTGAATGTCCAGACTGGACGTGCTGCACTGTCCCTACATGACAAAAAAGGCGACAACACACATCGAAGGAAAATACATTATACTTCAGTAATGTAGATCTGAACTCTTATTAGTTCAGTAAATTGTGTGTATCTTTTACTGTAATAAAATTACAGCGAGTGAACCCTTTAAGTATCATGTCCTCTTCTGGACTCATACAGTTGATTTTAAAGCAGTTCTAGTGGTGTGGCTCAAGGGATGACAATAAGCTGTTAGCATGCTAACATACACTAAATTTTACACTTGCCTCGTAAAAATCATTGTCATTATGAGCACGCTGCTGTGCCTAAGTCCAGCCTTTTAGAGCTGCTAGCTGTAGACTGAGTGACTTATTTACAGGATTTGTTGCTCCACATAGTGGCATTAGTGGTAACCGTCAACCAGAAGAAATAATGTGACATGTCTTACTCTGGTATATTCTTTCCATATTCCACCTTTAGCTTGAAACTGCCATTGTGACGTGGGCGTGGCCGCACTGAAGATAAGAATCAAAGTTTAAAACATTTACAGAGGCATATACGTACAATGTTCACATATTACAGACACATGAATTCAGATGGTGTTGCTATGCAGATTTAGTGTCTGAGAGACAAAAGCAGATTTAATATTAATATAACCGCAACTTCATTTACAAATGTGAAGGGAATAAGAGAGAAGTACCCCTTAAAATCTACTAAAGTTATCAAGGTTTTTGCCTCATGTATTAATTGGGGGGAAGTTATGTACCCCTTAAGTTGCACATCATTTCTTGTATAGGGATTATATTGTTACTGTAGAATTAAGGGAGTTTGGTTAATGCTTTTGCCAAATTAATTCAATTCAGTTGGTTTGTTTTCAGGGTTAAATTAAGGATTCATTTGCAGCATTTTAAGGGATTCTTATCTCATTGAAATGTTTCTCCTGACCTGCCATCGTATTGACTAGTGCCATCAACAATCCTCCTCACTGCTCTCCTAGTCCCGTACTTGTGATTGATCTGCTCCATCCCTGTGTTAAACCAGTGCACACAGAGTTTCAGTGGTACTGTGATTATCTGGTGAAGCAGCATTAGAGCAGCTTTGTACGTGTGTGCATTACTTGCGAAATCCAAAGTGTAGGAGAATTTCCTGATCGTGAAGTGTAGCTTGCCCCGTGGATTCAGACGGTAATGTCTCTCTAGGGTATTGCTGTCAAATGAACCATTCTACACACAAATACAAATAAGCACAAGTAAATCCACCTTAAAGGGGAATACACATTGTCAAATTTCCACCATGACAGCTATGTGAGCTGTCCTAAACAGTCATAAATGTAGGCCTGCATACTCTATACTGAATTCATGAGAATGTTATTGCCTTTAAATACTAGGAAATAGTGAAATAGTTAAATATCTTATACTTTAGTTTACTTATTTCCAGCTTTTTGGCAGGTTTAGTTAATATCCTTCTTCTACAGCTACTTGAAATGTTACTTACATATGTTTGGTACTCAAATCAATCAAAAGTCAACAACCAGTCCTACCTGAAACTGCTGGATGTTCTACTTACATAGCCTTGGTATTCTGTCCATCTCCCCTCGTCTGCCATGAACTCCCATTTGTAGACTGTAAAAAAAAAGAAGCTGTTTCCAAGTTCTACACACATGATCGCCACCAAAAATTATTAAAATTAAATATGTAGTTCAGACCTTTTTGTTTTTTAATATGGCATCAGCAATCCTATTGGCTTTTCGTTTGATATTGTAATAAATTCATGTTTGTACCTAAGCTGTTCAACAGGCTACCAGAAACCCTTTGGGAGAACTGTCAGAAACAATAAAATGACTATCTTTATCTTTTTCATAAATGTTCAACTAGGAAGAAGACCACTTGGGGGCACCAAAATTGACTACAGTATTAAAATACACACAAAACAACCTATAGATGCACAATAAACATCAGTATCTGAGAAAATCACTAAAAACCTGGGAGATGGAGACGCAAAACCCATCACACTACACACAGTAGGGCCACACTTACAAATATGCATAAAGGTGAGGCCATGAATAAAAAGAAAACTAAAAAATCCCCTAACTTCTCACCTGCCCCGGCACAATGTTCAAACATACACAAAAAATACACTAGACATTACAATTTAAAATGTGTATGCTGCTACGTATGCGTTGCTCCCCCGGGGTTTAGGCTTGTGCCACCGACCAACTCCCCCCGCGGGAACAACGGCCTCGTGGGACGGCGCAGGACGCACCGACCGACCGCGGCGTGCTGGAGCCTGCAGCGGTGCGCTCCTGTAAGCCCCCAGGCTTTACTTTCTATCGTCTTTTTTTTTTTTTTTCTAAGGGAAAATTATTGGAATATAGGAACGCATAAACAGGATACATATTATTATGTATGATTAAAGGTGTACTTACTAGAAGAAGACGCCATTATGTTTGCAGTACTTTCGTTTTTACCGTCCTACTTTCATGTTCAGGTTAGCCACACCCACGATAAGAGGTTTGTTTTGCCAGCTGTTTCTTGAACTAAACAGGAAGAAATTATATAATGGGGTAATATAATGAAGGCAGCAGTGATTGCAGATAATAGATGTACTTCAAATCTCCAAAATCCAGTTAATAATCTTTATTAACCAAAAGACATTTGAAAAAACAGCAACACATAGGCACTGTGTCTGTCCATAGCAAATAGTCCAAGCACCATAAGCTGTAATATAAATATATAAACAATTCAAAACCAACCAAGAACAGTGTGCAGCATGGTACATACAGACATACACCTTAAGAAAGGACAACAAAGCTAAACAGAGATAAACATATTGGTGCTGGAATATTATATAGGTCTGGGGGTTTTTAAAGTCTGAGACTGTGACCTCCCATCAAACAAAGCTTGGAAAAAGCTGAAAATCTCTGATGGAAAGTGCACAATCAGTCTCAAAGGGTGGGGTGTTATTTATGTGATGGCTTTAAAATCGTGCATCAGATGGTGGAGTGTCAGGCACTTTAATTTAGAAAGGAAACACAAACCAAAGTGTCCTGGCAATTACATAGCAGCTTAATGAACATCTCCATAAATTAAACATGAAAGTTTACTTCCCTTTGGTTTTAGGTTAAAAGAGGTATCTTTTCAAGTTCACTGATTACAAGGCAGTATTCATGAATCATGGACATTTTAAAATACACTAAAATGATGGTTACATGCACAAACTAACAGGTGGCATATCTGAAACATTGCTTTGGTTTTCAGTTAAAGTTTGAGTTACATGGGAGCCAGTGGGGTCCCTAATACATAACTACTAATCACTGTTTTAATTATAAATGTTCAATTTGATTATTATTATAATTATTATTTATATTAACATTATGTTACATTAACCACTTTACTAAACTCTTGACTGCTTGCATGCATCCTTCCACTTGTGGAGCACTACATAGAATAAAATAATAACAAAAACATTTATATGATACCAAAAAGGGCGGCACTGCATTCTCCCCTGATAGATCTTGGGCAGTTTCGGGTTGTTGCAATCTATTTAATACAGTTATTGCAAGAAGTGGGCTGTGTGTGAAAGAACCCAGGCTAAAAGAGGTGCCTGTTTCCCTTCATTTAAGGCAGTTTATCAGATTTCTCACATATGACACTGTACTCCCCAAGACCTGTAAACACAACACGATGTGTAAAATTTGTGGAACCAAACCGTTATCAGCCAGATATCTTCATAATCCTTAATATAGATAACCTAACCCAAGCCCTAAACCCAACAACGGAGATGGTAGAGGTTACAGGAAGACACTTTTCAATGCACAAGCAACAACAAATTGGCAAGACAAAATGCAATTGTAATCACAGACCCTGAGAAGAATAAAGAATCCCTCACACCTTTCAGTAAATGTCTGTCCGTGTTTCAATAACAGTCATGCAAGGTCATCCAATCAGCAGCTCGTGAAAAACAGTACAGAATCATTCTAACATGAGAAACAACCTGCAGGCAAGCAGTGAGGCAATTCCTGAGGATCGACATCAAACCGGATCCCACAGTCACTGGTTGAGCCGTCGCACTGATCTGGTGGTGGTTGTGGACAGGTTCTTCTGAGTCATGGCTGCAAAAGACACATGTCAAGTAAATCTAACATACAGACTGATCCAATCCTGTAACATTAGCGCCTTGTGAAAGGGAAACAGGTCCTACATAGCCTGCAATACAGATTTTAACTGTTGATGTTTGCAGCTCACCTGAGAAGTTTAGCTCATAGCTAAAGTTGCTGGTGGTAAATATCACGGTGCCTGATGGGTTCTTCTGGTACTCGAGCTCAATGTCCTGGCTGGACATGCTGCACTGCCTACGACCCTAAATGACACAGAGAAAGAAAAAAGAGAATTAAATTGTCAATTTTGAGTCTTTTTGTTCACATTAATACTTATTTTTCTTAAGCAATTCTAGCAGCATAGCATTAGGGTATGTTGCAGTAGACAATGTTGGCAAGGCTAAACATGCCAGCATTGTCTTTGTGAGCATATAAGCATGTCGACTTTAACATTTAGTTCAATGCGGTGCCTAAGTTCAGCCTCTTAGAGGGGCATGGCTGTAGACACAGGATTTACTGATCCACAATAGTGGTATTTATGCATCAACAAAAGAAAGTCATGACTTACTTTGGAATAATCTTTCCATTTTCCACCGATATCTTGAAACTGCCATCTAGGCTGTGAGTCCCAACTGCAGAAAAAGAAGAATTTAAGTTTAAGATCAATTCAGTTCAACTCAAAAGTCAAGGTGTTTGGTATGTTTTTAGGGGTAAGTTAGGGATTCATTTGTTGCATTTGAAGGGAAATGTTTCTCCTGACCTGCTGTTCTGTTGACTCCCATCGTCAGCAGTCCTCCTCACTGCCCTTGCAGTCCCTATTTGGTTGTTGATTTGACACATTGCTGTGAAAAACCAGGAACACACAGTTTTAGTGGCGATTTTAAACTGCAACTAAACTAAAATTCAAATAATGGATTGTATTGGTTTAGCGGCTTTAGAGCAGTCGTATGTGTGTGCATTACTTGTAAAATTCAGGGTGTATGAGAATCTCCTGATATTGAAGTGGAGCTTGCCCTGGGGATTCAGCTGGTATTGTGTCTCAATAGCAGCGCTGTCAAATGAACATACCTACACACAAATAGAAATGGCACGAATAAGTCCACCTTGTAGAGAAATGCACATTATCCCTTAACAAACAACTGGGCTGGAAATTCTGTAAGGGCTGACTGATACTACACTAAATGTACATATGTTATACTTAATTCAGTAGACATTATTTACTTGGAAAAATGGAGAATGGAAGGTAAATATGTTTAAAAAGCATACGAATAAATACCATAACATATCAAAAGTCAAAGTTTCTAGCTGAAAGTAAAATGAAAAGTATACACTCTTTCATTTTGTTTCATTAATAAGCTTCTACAACTACCTGAAACTGCTGGATGTCCTACTTACGTGTGCTTGGTATTCTGTCCATTCCCCCTCTTCTCCCATAAACTCCCACTTGTAGCCCCCATTTGTGAGCTGGGAGGAGGAAGCCGTGGGAGGAGCTGAGGTAGAGTAAAGGCTGCAGAAACATGAGGAGACCATCACGTATATTCATACAAACTTTTATACAGGGGCTCGGGGCTTTTTGAGTACATAACATCTGAACGCAGGAAAGAAACATTTCTAGACAAAAATACGACTCCTACAGAGGAAAGACCTTACCTTCTTGTGTTGGAAGGGAATTTTGGTCGCCTGCGTACATTCCTGCGCAGGCCTGTGGTGCAGTTTGTTTGAGTCATGGCTGCAGAGACAAATTTAAGTTAGATTTCGCAGTATAAAAATGTATTGAAATCAAGCTTACACATGATAGAAACACCACATACTGGCGAAGTCAAGTCTGTAGCTTGCTGAACCCACGGTGAAGGTGAAGGATCCCTGAGGGTTTAGAGTGAACTGATGCTCAACATCTTTACTGCTGATTGAGGAGGACAACCTGCTGGAGGTCTGCAGAAAGAGGAGGAGAGATTACATTCAGAGTGTGAAAAACCACGAGAATCAAATTAATTCGAGGGTAGAGATTTTCCTTACCAGCGATCCATATTCACGCCACAGCTGGTCATCTCTGAAGTACCAGCCTACGTCCTCCGTCTGGCCCGGAGGTAGGAAGCTAAGTCTCTGCACCTTCAGAGGTCCAGTCAGAATCTGTAACTTATCAAAGTCTATGAACACCTTCCTGTGGAGAACACATATGATTCAGTTTGATATATTATATACTTTGAATGTGACATTTTGTTTTAATTATCCCAAAATAAACCCCCTCCATCCACATATTGTATCAGTATGTTATTCATTGTCTTAATATTATCATTTATGTCACAATCTTCAGTTTCATTGGGCAGTTTTATTCAATTAATAGTCTAAATCTGACACTTTCCATTCGAATACCTCCAGATTACACTTAAGTGCTCCCTAAATAAAATACCTAAACTTTATTTAAGATTGTCAGACAAAAGACAAACTGAAAGAAAACCAAAAAAAAAACCCTTTCTGTGCATAACAGCTGAAGATGAGACCAGTAAAAATCACCAACACTGACCCATGCTGAGTGTTGATGGTGATTCCTTTAGCTCCTGCATGGCAGTAGTGGGTCTCGATCACGTGGTCGTTCTCAATTCGCAGCCACTGATTTCCAACTAACAGCTGCCACTCATAACGTTTCGAATCTACTGTAAAAAAAATAGAAGAATATGGGATGTTATTATGTGTATATGTCTGTATGAGCTATGATCAGCTGACAACTGACCAGCTGTAGAAGCTGGGCTAATGTTTGACACTGACACTGAACTTTGCACCAAAAAAGATAGGAACTTAGAAAACAGGTGTAGATGTTTTGGGTTGTGAGAACTCGCATTTCTAACTATTTTCAGAATTTGAAAATGAAAATAATCAGTAGATGCAGACATATGCAATTTGCTTTACTTGCACCAACTACAACAATAAAATCTTATTTTTACATTAATGCATGAGGAATAATAATCTAATGACATAATATAAATCACAGGGGATTTTTCTGCATTGAGTACTTCAGCTTTTAATACTTTAAGTATATTTATCTGACCATACTTACATACTTTCACTTCAGTGACAATTTCAGTACTAGTAGCCTGAAGGTTTTAGTACTTAAACTAAAGTAAATGATCTGAATACTTCCTCCACCACTGTGTTCAATGTATTGTTATGGATATATTTCTAAAAATCACCATTAAAAACTAAACAAAATGGAACAAAAAGGACCATAATTATTATAAGTATTATTCTTAAACATTAGATTTTCGACGTATTTGTTCAGAAAGAGTCATCTTTAAGGCTCAAATGTAAGCTGACTCTGACTTTCACCTACAAAGTAATTCAATAACACAACTACTGTAACTAAATGTCGTGTCATACAGACCTGGAGCCCCCCACGAATAGTCCAAAGCCTCTTCATTTCCCTGTAAAGAACAAATAAAAACATATAACAACCAAACTGTGAAACGGCGCTCTGTATAAAACCAAAGTGGTTCCGTGGTAAAGACTCACCATGTTGTTGTGTGGGGAAAACACTGTAATGATACCAACATAAAGCAGATTAAACACACGTAAAGAGAGCGAGAACTGTCGTTATTTTATAGTTTCATTAAATATGTTTCACTTACTTTTACTCTTTAACAGTCCGATGTTAAATGTCCCACTTCACATTTCACAAACAGATCGTGTTTCACTTTCGCTTCTCTGCAGATCACGCCCCGAAAATAAAGCAATGAAACCAGAGCAATGGTCTGCACCGCAATGGGGGTTTTATGTCATTCAAAATAGGTTTGCTTGTTATCTGTTGGGCTTTATTTTGGTAATGTTTATGATATTATTCTTAACTGCAGTCAATCAACAAACAGGTTATAGAATGATTTATTTATTGATGCATAGCCTTCTAACACAGTTCATTTTAGGAAGTTATATCACTTCCATTAGGGATAGTTCAATAGCACTTTTTCATGTCAATAGTGTGATAACTTGTATGGATGCACATTGCTTAACCTTGCCATTTAAAAAAACATCCTGTTTAAACTGTGTAACTGATTAATCTGTTGAATGAAGAAACACACAGCTGATTCAGTTATTCAATGTACTACTGCTGCTTCTTTTTATTGAAACCTTTTCATGCACAACATTTAGCAGCCTTTTTGATTGGTCAGCACCATTCAAACTTTTTTTCTTCCTTGATTGTATAAGAAGAAATATACACACACACACAAAAACTGATTGCGCAATTTTTTACTACTATAAAGCAGCATAAACCTTACAATCCAAGGCTGGAATTGACCACCTAGAGCAAAAAAAACATATACGAAGTGAACCAAAGAATCGCAGGTCTACAATCATGGATTTTTATTGCATAGTGTTAACATGTAACTCATGTCACATACAACACCTCAACGGTAGCATAATGCTGTGAGGTGTAGAAATGGCCTTGAATTTGCATCAGATTTGGTTCTGAATGAATGAATTCTGTTATATTAGAACAGGCAGTGTTTAAATACCAAATATTTTGTCTGATAATTTGAGGTTTGTCCCTACTCTCATCTCCTACTATGGCAGTCATGTATGTGTCTAACAACAGATTGGTAAAAGGCAGGTTGGTACAGTACATAGGCAGCATTTAAGTGTGAGAAAAACCATTTTGACACAATCCCTAATTTAAAAAAAAAAAATCTATATAATAATATTACATTTTATCCTGAATTCCTTTCCAATGTAAACACAACATTACATTTCCAACAAAGAGCCAAATCAATAAAACCCCAAAACACCCCAGAAGAAATTTAGATTAAAATGATTGTTTGGAAGTATAGTATTGCACAGTTGTTTGTAGACTTTCTTCATGAGTGGCTTCAAAATCCCCTTTAATGCTCAGACCATCAGACGTCTGATCTTGCGTGTATGGTTGTTCTTGAGGTTGGTTTGCATCATCGCTGTGGGGAAAAATAAATAAAATAAATAAATAGAACAAATTAATAAATGCTCTATAGTTCATGTTTCAGGATGACTATTGTTTTTCATTTAAAATGTAAATCTTATGTTACTTATTATTACCTGCTATGTGTGTTTTTAATTGTTTCTTTTCTGTTACTGAAACAGTTCAAATAAGGAAGCTACAGTTTATAAAAGCTGAGATTCTTCCTGACTTTTAAGTTGTATTTTCTCTAATACATTCCTCATTATTTCCATTGAAGTTTACTGGAAAAGAACTGTAGAGCTAAATTGGTACACTTCCATATTAATAGTAATAGTTTCACAGTTAGGTGAAAAGATTGACAATACTCTCACATCTGTACGGTAAATATGTAACAGCGCTATCTGAGGATAACAAAGTCCGCCTACAAGGACCTCCAAGCCTCACAAAACTGAAGTGTAAACATGTATTTGTGGTTTTACAGGGTGCTATCTGCTCAATCAGTTTTTTTTTTGGCCCGGGTGCAGTGACGTCCTGGAAACGGCAATCCCCAGACATAACATTTAAATCAGTCAACACTGGAGGTGCTGGTAGGGGCATTTAGTTAAATATGGACAGAGTCAGGTGAGCTGATTCCGCCTGTTTCAAGTCTTTATGCTTAATTAAGCTAACCATCTGCTGGCTGTAGCTTTATATTCATCCCATAATAATCCAACTATTTTTTTCATGTTCTGGTGTCAATGTACAGCAGCTGAACATGAAAAGTGTGAAATGTGTCCACAGGCTAGCACACATTTCAACTTTTATGAAGAATGAAGTTTCTAATAATAAATTCAGTTTTACTTGAGGTTAAATGTTCCTCTGGGAACCAACAACTGCTTATTACTCAACACAACTAACTTAAATGTCTCTTTTTTTCCACCAAATTCTTTCCAGAAACCTCCCATTAAATTATTTGAAAATAATCAACTTCATCACAGTATTTAAATAATAACTCAACCTCCAAAGTCCAACTTGTAGGTGTCTCCTTTCACTGTGAAGGACAGGGTGCCGCTGGGGTTTTGCTGGTACGTCTTTTCGATGTCTTTACTGTCTACTGAGCATTCAAAGGGAGTACCTCTCTGTCGAAACAGGGACATTCAAATCATCAGGGTTTTATCTCAGCACTCTTATTTAATGACAGTTATTTAAAGTTTCTCAGCTAAATGTAACTCTGCAGATGAACCTACCCTGTGTTTGAACTCATGCCATCCTCCGTTGTCTCCCTTAAACTGCCACTTTGGTCTGGTGCCCACAGACAGAGTCCGGACAGCTGAGGCTGCTTGAGAAACTCTGTAACAACAAGTTCTGGATTCTGTCACAACACTTAAAGCAACAGTTTAACATTATTCACTCTCTTGCCAAGAGTTAGATGAGAAGACCACTTTGATGCCAAAAATGTGGCCGGAGCCAGTTGGCTTAGTTTATCACATATCACTTTTTTAAAAAATGGTTCCTATTTTTGTTTGTAGAGAAATTTGTTACATTTTAGAACAAAATTTAAACACTACCCCTTTTCCCCCATTTCAAGGTTCCTTTATGTTAAGCTAACCGGCTGCTGGTTGTATCTTCATATTGTAGCTTCAGATTGGCATCAATTCTCATCTAACACTTGGGAAGAAAAAGAAAATGTAAGAAAATGTCCAATTATTCAAAATAATATGAAAATGTATCTCAATAATATTTAAATATTTGTTATTGACAGGAGTGACATTTTTCCCAGCTTGACAAACGAACAAAATCCAAACTCACCCTGCTGCCACTGCTTGCTGTTGTCGATAGACTGGTCGACGAGTTACTCTCCTCTTTCTGCTTTTACCCACCTGTCGCTTTTCTAACAAACAACACAAATAAAATAAAGTGTTACAGTGTGCTGCATGTGGAATTTAACAGACTATTTTGTGAAGGTTTTGTGAGTATTTTTCACCTTTGAATCTAATCTCTAAGGTCTCTGCACCAACGCTGAAAGTAAAAGAACCTTTTGGGTCACTCTGGAAGTTCCTCTCTATGTCAGAGCTCGTCACAGGACTGGTGTTGCCCTTCGAATCCTATTTAAAAAAAAAAATCTATATTAATTAACAAAATTACATCTAGCCGTGAAGTTGCAGATTCAAACTATAACTATAACTAAACACCGCTCACATCTGTATTTGATGACCCAGGAACGAGATGTGAAGTGTGTAGGAGAAAAACGCAAAGGTTCTATCTACAGCCAATGTTTGGTTTGTCCATTCTGGGCTACTGTATAAACTTTGTGGTTCAACTTGGTGGACTCCATGGAAGGCAACCCTCATTTACCCATCTGTAAATAACAACGACTCATTCTAAGGACCAATTCCTATTCCATTTCTGCCATTATATCCTCCTAAATGCTACACGCTGGACCTTTAAAGTTGTATACAAGGAGGTTTCATTTTGTTTCGATTCTGGCAGCCCCTGTGGACAAAATCGGTAGTGTTTTATTCTCCTTGTTTCATTGATTTCAAGAGGAATCCAACTGAATCTGACCAATGTTCTCACTAATCTGGTCCTATTTGTTTATGTAGATCATATAGAGAATGTTTCATAACTACTTAAAGACGAAGATTGGATTGGAGTAAAAAAAAAAGGTTCAATAATTTTAATTCCACGTACCTTGTCTCCATACTTGATCCACTTACGACGCAAGGTGCAGTACCAGTTCCACACAGTTTTTCCATCATCCAAACGTCTTACTTTCAGACTCTTTCCACACACTCTAATTCTGTTAAAATCTATACTCACTGCCCTATAGAGAGAGAGAGCGACAGATACATCATCAACCAGTTTCTCCTCAGTCTATCTGCGTTTCGAAAATTTGAAAGCACTGTGTGTTTTTAGCTCTTACCCGTATGGTGTGTTGTAGATTTTAATGCTTTTTGTGTGGGGCAGCGAGTACTGAGCCTCGATGACGTGATCATTATCAATATCCATCCAGCCGTTTCCATCATTCAGCTGCCACTGGTAGAATCGGCCATCCGTGAGCTTTGGGTCTGATTAAAAAACATTGAAAAGACAAAATATTGAGTTTTAAATTGAGCAAGCTGAGGCACTGAACAGGTACTGAACACGTTGGACGTTTTAATAGGCAACTGGTTGCTAACACGTCCGCCCAAACACCTTTATGAGGTGATAATGTAAAATATTTCGTTTTCAGCTAACACACACATAGTTATATGTACTTATTTTGTTTCATTAATAACTCTAAAACTTATTTATATTATTGTTTTACTAGCTAATTAATTATAGCAAGGATCTATAAGAGACATCTACTGTAGTGAAGAAGTAATATTTCATAATGTAAACTTTATAACAATGTAAAACAGCTCTTGTAATGTTGTAAACTCGTACCATATAGTTTTGTAAAGTAAAGTTTTATCTATATAGCTCAAAATCATAAATTTGTCAACAAAAACAAACAAACAAAACCTGAAAAACAAATAGGAGAATAACCTTAGGAAACCTTGTATATCAGGATGAACAGACAAACAGTAAAGTAGAATTAGGTAGTAGTAGGCAAATAATGTAAATATAAAACATATATTATTAGACACATATTGAGTATAATTAGTTAAACATTTGTGAATCAGAAAGAAGGATCATCCATTCAACCTGTTCTCTCTTCTTCATCACTAGATGCTGATCGGACCGAAGCCCTGTTGCTTGCACCAGACGACGCACTTCCAGCTCTGTCGTGCTTCAGCTTACAATTGGATCCATTACGACAGTTTCCTTTCAGGGCATACTTGCAGACGTGCAGGTAAGAGCACCTGGCACCATCCCGACAGCCACCTCTGCTGTTGTAAAACTTGCAGGGCACGCCCACTGGAGACTTGAAATGAGAATAAAGAGGATTTTTTTTTTCAGCACTGGAGAGGTACACATAGTTAGGTTCTACATCAGTACAAAATAAATGGTGGTAAATTCAGATCAGAATTCGAACAATGTGTAAAAAGTGGGTTTGTAGCGATTTACATTGTTCTCTGTTCAGAAACAAACCTGACAATCAGTTTCTACATCTGAACGTTCGTCACTTTCCGAACCAGTGGATTCATTGTCAGAAGCGATTTCCTCGTCAGACTCTGGAATATATTGCACATAACGAGAGAGAATTAAAAATGCATATGAAATGTTTTCATGTTTGGTGAATACTTATTCAAATTTATCAATGATAAAGACCGGTCTTCATTCATGCATGGTCTTCATTCCTAAAAGGTCATCCGATTCATTCCTGCATACAAATATTCTCTATGTGGCCAAGAGTATAGGGAGATACTCATTTCCAACTTTTGTTGTTGGGTGCTGTTTTTCATTGTTTGGCCACAGAGAGACACACAGCCTTTCCCTGAAAGCTGGAGCCTGTTAGAGATGCATATTTATGTTGTTTTTGGGATGAGATATTCAACAATTACATGAGCACAAGTGAACTGTGTGGAAAAAAACACACATTATTCATGTCCAGGTGCAGCTTCCAAAAAAAAAAAAACCCAATAGATACAACGTTGTAGTCCAAAAAGTCCACACTGGCTCTTTATTAGGTGCAGAGGCATTTAAAACCAATCGTAACCAAACGTAATAAAGAAAAATATTTTAAAAGGCAGCGTTCTACTGTGTTTGCGAGTCCTTGTGAAACATCTAATGTTTGGGTGTCCACATAACTTTGGGCCATGTAGTGTTTATGTTTAAAGGCAAATTCCTTGTATGTAAAAAACCTACATGGCAATAAACCTGATTCTGATCATGCTACAGTAATTTCCTGTAGTGATATATGTTCAGTGGGAAACTGCTAAACAAATAATTAAAGTACATTTTTCCTAAAATACCACAGATATGATATTATTTATACAGTTTAAACAAAAGTGTAAGTACAGGTCAACAATAACGCATACGTTAATATGTTTATCTGCTGCCCCCTGCTGGGTAATATCGATTTTACTGGCTGTTTACAAGCTGTGTTATGGTTATGATCCATACGTTGGAAAATGATTGATAAATAAAAGATTATAAGCGTACCTTTAATTTAACGCCGTCAAAGTGAAACATTATGTGAAGCATGATGTGGACTGTACAGGTTCGGGCTGTCGTTGCATGTAAACCATATAAAGTAAGTTTCATTCACCAAAAAACGAAACTGAAACTGTAAAGTACACGATTATCGCCACATGATAGATAAATCTGTGTATTTAAGAGTTCAGACCTGAGTCAATTCCATCGTTATGTTCCTAATATGGCAAATATCAGCAATCCTATTAGGTTTTGAGTTGATATGAAAATCTACTATAACTCTAAATGTCTCATAATGATAAATACATATAGAGATAGACAGTACAGCCACGTACAGCTCTGTTTATGAGGGTAGAAAAAGCTGCATTTAGTTAAAATACAATGAACACAGCAGATACATGCATATATTAGAGTGCTCATGTTTAAAGCGTACTTACCAGATGGAGACGCCATACTGTTGTTCGCAGTGCTTTCGTTTATGATACCACTTTCATATAAGGTCAGCCACACCCAGGCACTGTCTGTCAAAAAGTTACTTGTGCTGTTTCCCCTACAGCAAGACTGCTGCTCTCATAGCTTCAGATTCCCAGCTGTATTTTAGAATACATCTGGAGTAGATTGCAGATTTACCTCCAATCTTCAAAATCCAAAACCTTTTTCCCCCTTTGTTAACCAACATACATTTCAAAACAACAAATATGCATTGTATCTGTATAAAACCCTTGCATAAGCTGCAATATAATAGAAATACAAGAATAAATCGTGTGCAGGATGATAAAATCTAGACATGCAGCTATAACGAGGACAACAAAACTAAACAAAGATAAGTAAACATATTGGTATGTAGGTAAAAAAAAATATATATAAAAAAATAGGCCTGATACATTCTGTATGTACGGGTGTTATTGTAAACTGTATGAAGATTTCAAATATTTCAAGTGGGAGTGCAAAAAGAGCTGGAATATGTGTATATATAGGTAATTAATAGGTAAACAGATGAAATAAAATAATAAATCAAAGAACTAAATATATAAAAACAGAATGGAACACCAAATCTGACCTCAATATCTTAATAATAATAATAATAAAAGTTTTGTATTTGCCTCAAACTGGAGCGTTCAGGCTTATTTTGTAGTGCGCTAAACCTCCACGGCGCTGGGTGGCGATAGTGAGCTGATTCTGCCATTGGCGCGCCCGCATCTACACTGCTATGGCATCTAGTAAGTGGGCTGTAGTTTCATTCAACAATAAACAGCAATGTAGTCTCCACTGGTAGTGTAGGTTGCAGTGTGGACACAAACACAACAACAAAACTTTAAAGTTCATCTGGTGTTAGTTTCCCACCTGAATTATAAAGGGAAGAGCCTAATCGTTTAATAATAATAATAAAGGAATAATCCCATTGAATACTGAAATAATGAGGCCACTTTAGGCTAAAACACAGTATGCACACTGCACAACAACCAAAATTAAATATATAACATTTCTAACTAACTTTCTTTTCTCTCTGTCTTAGTGAATTCAAAAGAAATTGAAGACTTTGTGAAGCTGAGGGTTTCAAATAATTACCTCTTCTCTGGAAGAAGAAATACTTCCATGTGGGCATGGAGGTATGTCAGCAAGTTAAAGCTCTGAGAGGCAATAATGTATAGGGACAGAAGCATGTATGCATGATTAGGAAGTACCATAATGGGATATTTAACGGGATATTTCCTTCACTGGAACATGTTCCAGTCAAGAATTTGTTAGGTTGAATAACTTTTTGCTTGCAAAGCTCTGATAACCTGATAAACATGAGCCTTTATTGATAACGATGACGAATACTACAAGGAGATAGTGATAATAATCTTTTTTCAGGGCTTTAACTAGCAATTATTTACATTTAAAATAGTATAAACAGCCCAAAGCCCAAGTTGACATATTAAAAATGCTTGTTAATATTCACATTTGAGAAGCTAAAACCAGTGTCTTTTGATGATCAAAATAGTAGAATTTTCTGTCGATCGACTAATAGATTAATCAACTAATTGTTCATTTGTGTTATATTAACATAATTTTATCTTTTTAGGGCCATTCTGAGACATATGGCCTTGCAACACAAGATGACCCATAGTCAAGCATCCAAAAAATGTGAAAACATGAAAAAGAGATACAAGGTAGGCTAATATTTCTTTTAAATATCATTTAGTTTTATAAAGAATTTTGACAAATTTCCTTCTTGATTTATTTCCCTCTGTCTGCTTCCTCAGGAGCTTAGGAACCCTCCAGATTAAAGTGTCTCCAGAAGTACGGACTTATTTCAGGAGGGAAGCCAGGAGATAGACTGCATCATGCAAGAGGTGGAGCCGGACATGATGGATAGCGAAAGACAGGTGATGGAAAGGGAGCAACAGGTGATGGAACGGAAGGGGCTGGTACTGCTGAGGGAGATCGCTGCTCTGGAACGGGACCGAGCCTTGCTGGAGAGAGAGAGGGCGACGATGGTGAGAGAAAAGGCGGTGATGGAGTGGTGGAGCAGGACAGAGATGCTGTGAGCAGGGATGGGCTGGCTCTAGAGCGAGAGAAAGCCAAACTGGAGGGACTTTGTGCACTCAGAGAAAGGACTGAGGAGGACAGCAGCGAGGACAGAGACTCAGATATCATGGACAGGAAAGGAACCTCTTCTCAACTTGTTTGAAAAAGTCATTAAAAATATTGGATTCATGGGGTTTTTCTGCACAAACCCCAAACATTTTAATATATAGGCTATATATATATTCCTGAGCAGTTTCCACCTTGGCTGCATCTGCACATAATTCAAAATGCACATTTTATTTTTATACTAACCTACAAGTTGTCAATAAAAACGTTGAGCCACTCCCAGTTCGGAGAGGTCTTCAAAACAACTTTATTCACTTGTGGTTATTCCATACAGAGCACACAATAGCAAGCTATTAGCATTATTCTTAACCCCATCCACAATCAAAATCAACAACCCCCCTCCCAAATCAAACAATAGTCTTCATTTGATCGACTCTAGACATTAGAGTCTTTGGAATAGGCTATTGTGCATGGTTAAAACATCACTTTTTGAAATGTAATATACCAAATATTGCAGTTCATGTAAAAAATCTTTTTTTTTTTTAGAATATATATTTTTATATTACAGTACAGACTTTACAACAAATGATTGTGTTTAAATGCGTCTTTTATTGCATTAGATACTCAATTTTCCTTTCATTAAGCTCCAGCTTCAATAAGTTTATGCTAGTATACATTTCCAAAAGTGTTAGATTTGTCATTAATATTAATATTATTATTTTTTATTTTTACAAAACAAACATATTTAAACAATATTACCGGTTGTTTTGCCAGTCATGAACAGACACTAAACAGAAACAAACATGCCATTTGAGGGTTTTTAATAAACTGATTTCTCCGAATGCCACCTATTGTTTAATCTTAATCAAGTTGCGGAACAGTTTGGCTTTTGAGTTCTTAGGTTCTTGTGTGAATGTGTGTGTATTTGTATGTGTGTACATGCATGTTGGTAGGTGAGTAAGTTTCCTAAAGATCTGAACAAAAGGAAGAAGTTGCAGTAGAGACGTGTATATGTGCTTTATCGCCAGAATCTGACTCAATCAATGCGTTTGTGGATGTTTATCAATCATAAATTTCCACACAGTTTTTACTGATCTGTAGAATACATCAGCAGCATTTATGACAGTTTTGAATCTTGTAATTAATTGATTGTTTTAGGAGGTGATAAATGGTATGCATGTCTGCGTGTGTGGTTGTGTGTGTCAATATGTACAAAGATGTGTGCATGTGGTTGTATTTGTGGGAGTCAGTGTGCAAGAGTGTAGTATGTGTCTGTGTGGTTAAATGAGATCCCCGATGGGTATACGGGGCAGGCAGATGTAAGCCTGCGGGGTCCTGCTGAGGTTGATGGGGTTGCCGTCCAGACGGATGTCCTCCAGTGCGTTCCTGATGTAGTTGAAATCTTTCAGGTTGCAGAACGTGTCCTCGTGCATCATTTGAATATTGTTACGCTACAATAGAAGATAGAGGAGGATACATAATGAGATATACATATTACACTTGCTTAAACAAATTGTCATAATGGAGAAATTTGGATCATTATAAATTAGAATAGAAGTGAAATGCTGTCAGGTCACACAGTAACAATATCTGTCCTCTCAGAGTAGGGTTATCTGGATTTGTTAAAGACAAGTTCTCTGGTAAAACTTTAGGTTTAGTTATTTGAATGTCAATCTTTAAGTTTTAATTCTTAAATATTAATTCATATTTTGTAACATTTTTATTTTCATTTGTTGAAAGCAAAACCTAAATAGATTCAATAAGATACTTTAAAAGGATTCAAATTCAATAGGGTTGGATACCAATCCTGTGGTGCCCTCTAGTGTTTGTTTGCTTAAAAGCCATGCACACCCATGATTCTCCCACACAGGTCTTTTCAATTACTTTGCGTAATTAGACTACTTGTCAGTGTGGGCCACTTAATTGACCTGAGCTCCCTGGTCCTCCTATTGATTTTGTTACACCTGTTTGGGTGCCAGAAGTTACACATTTTCTCATTCTTATTGATTTGTGATGTTTAGTGTAATCATTTATCATTCCTGATTGCATTTTCAGTTAAAGTTTTACCTTATTTTCATATCATATCTAAAGACCTTTAATCCCAGGAATACAAAAAGCCTACATTATGGTTTGAACCTTTCACTTCAAATGTTCACCAGTGAGGGATGTGACATGAGGCCCGAGCAGATATACCTGTAGGTGTAGAGATCGCAGGGTGTCTGGTAGAGGCACAGGGACGTAATCAATGTGGTTGTCTGTTAGGTACAGGTACAGCAGGCTGGTCATATCCTGGATACAATGAGAAGAGATAGAAATTATTATCGGCTCAGGCCTTCCACCATTGTCACATCAACATATCGCCATTTATTATTTGTTCTCGAGTATGGAAGTTGTACATACTTTGAACGCCTCGTTGTGAATACCCTTGGTGCCAATGTTGTTATGGCTGGCATCGATCAGGCTCATGGTCTCTGGGAGAGCAGGCAGCCTTGAGATATGATTTTCTCGAATCACCAGCTCCTCCAGCTCAGGTAGACCCAAAAATGCTTTGTCATCGATGGACGTTATCTCATTGGCGGTTAAGTCGATCCTCTTCAGCTTGTCTGGAAGGAGGCGAAAAAAACACACTCTGAAATGTTGATATCAGTGATAGAGCCATCCCTCCAGCATCAGTCAAAGTTAAGGGTACATTCACCTTTATCTAACAGTGATACATTTTCATTCAAACAGGAAACATACTCATGAAGGCGAAGTCAGACTTGTTGATCTTGGTGATTCTGTTGTAGCGTGCATAGAAGTGAGTGGTGTCTTTGGGAAGAGGTGGTACACTATCCAGCTTCAAGTCATCACAGTAGACCGAACCACCAAGGCAAGTGCACAGCAAGCAAGTGGGCATACCTGGAGCACATGGATAGAAAGGAGGAGAAGGGAGGGAGGGAGGGAGGGAGGGAATAAAATATGAAAAAGTAAGAGGTAGAATGTATTTCAGGGAGCAGCTGGTGGTTAATGGAATTAGCCTCTAACACTCAAAAAACCCAACCGGTCCTAATCCAGGGCAGAGTCCATCAAATCAGGATTCAGGATATCACAAGATTCAAAGACAACTGATGCTTTTATCATGCTTGTCTGAATTCAATTCCTGTGTTGTTCAATACTAACCTGTCCTGTCAGGCTCATAAGGCTCATCAGGTTCATCAGGCTCTGGCAATCCAGAGCTCACTGACCCTTCTATAATGTCAGTACGTTCCTGGGGGGGTTCTGTTGTAGTCGGAAGCAGCCCCTCCTCTTGTTAGAGACAAGATTAGGTATTAAAGAAACAGGTTAGATCAGCATGGACATGGAACAGGAAGTGTGGCAATCAGTAGCCCACTGTTTGCCGCAGTGATAAGTTACAGTGTATTAGCAGTGTTAACCAAGTGTTTGTGGCATTTAACTGACGAATGGAAGTTAAATGAAAATGACTTTTTTGTGTTAATAACATGAAATGTGATCTGCTGAGTGGTCACAAACAATATGCTTGTTAGTGAAGAACAAGAAAACACTTTTTAGGGAAGCCAGTTGAAATGGGTTTGGTCTTTTCAGTTGCGTCCACGGCGGGCTACGAGGCTAGATAGCCACAGTGGACTTTGTATAAACAGTATGTAAAAATAGTGAATAACTCAAACAATTTCTCAAGTAACTACTATCTCTTCTCTGCAGACAAGGTGCCAATGCAGGAGCCAGTTCCAACAATAAATCTTTTTTAAGCATTTCGAAAATTGACTCCACTCTAGCACTTTAGTTGTGCACTGTGGAGATCAATATTTCTCACCAAAATGCATATTGTGTATTCCTGAGATTTTCCAAACATGATTAATTAAATTCCTTTCTAATAAACCATTTGCAAGGCATTTTTAGTAGTTAAGTATTTTAAAATAATGTAATGTTTACCAATTATAGGAACTGTATAACAGACTCAAAGACAGTGCCCGTTCACTTAAATTTGCCAAAAAGGTTTTTCTAGCTTCCGGCTTGCTTCTGCGTTGCACAGCACACTGTGCATAATCATTAGTGTTCCTCCTACTGGCCCAACCTATGCATTCCCTCCAGTGCAGTTTTACAAATATAACACCTTCATGGATTAAAGTAATAATTGACCTTGTTTGCAGTTAGAGGTGTCCTGTCAAAAGGTTTACAGAAGTATTTTTTATAATGATGGTCAATGAGGTAAATGCTTTTTGGGCCACAGTTTTTCCCCCCCATTGCGGTACCACAGGTGGCCACTAGGATAAAGTGGCAGCAAAGCTCTCCTAATAGATCCAGGCTTACATTGCATTACAATCTCTGTACATGTGTAGCTAGCTAGCTGTCTTCATTAAGTTTTATTGTCACCGATCAGTGCAATAGCATGAAACAAGCATCAGAAATATGTATTGGATGCAAGCATGTGATTATGTGCACAATGCAAACAAACGGAAACTAACTTGTAAAAACAATGCTCCATAGCACTACACGTGTTCCACAGGGAATCTTTAAAACTTGGTGAAGAGAAAACCAAAGTTTTCAGAGCTGACTAACAGGAGTAATTAGACAAAATTGACTAGCAAGGGAGAGTTCATAAAAAGATTCATTAGCTCCCTGGCCCAGCACTGGCACCTCAGTCAAAGTATTCACTCTTTGGTATGCTTTCTGGTGTGTGAGATATGGGCTTAAGTTTTTACTCTGCCTTAACATATCTCACACAAGTCTAGATTAGATACTGACCTTTATCAGTGTCAGGGACCAGAGTTACCTCAGGGACCTCTGCGTCTCCAGAGCCAGAGGCACTAGAATCCCCAGAGGCTCCAGATAACTCTAAGTCTCCAGAGGCTCCAAGATCCCCAGAGGCCCCTGAGGTTCCTGAAGCTCCTGAGAACTCCCCAGAAGCACCTGATGCCTCGCTGGGGATAGTCTCAGGAAGGGGCAGCTCCTCCTCTTGTTAGAGCCAAGGATCGGGGTTAGGAGACATGAGATTAGAAGGGTGAGGGGTGAGATGGACAATCAATCACACTATTTTAGATGAGACAAGAGGTTAGGAGAAGCATGATTATGAGTAACACAAATACAATGGCACACAGCAGAACAAATAAGTAAGATTGCAAGGGGAAAAAAATCAACATTTAACACAGTTAAATGGAATTTAAGACAATAAATCAACATAAATCACACAGGTAAAGGCAGGTTATTGCTAAAGAAATAGAGTTGCCGTAAGCCTTACTAACAGACATGTGCTCTTTAAAAGTACTAACCTCCAGATATCAATGTTATCCCTGAGTCCCCGGACTCACCAGAGTCCCCAGAAACCCCAGAGCTTCCAGAGGCCCCTGAGATCAAGAGATCTCCAGAGAACCCAGAACCAGACTGGTCCCCAGACCCTCCAGAGCCAAGGGGGAGTTCAATTGAAATCCCTCCAGAGCCCAAGTCCCCAGAGGCTCCAGAAGTTGCAGATCCCATTATATCCCCAGATCCTGAGTGATCCCCAGATATCAAGAAATCCCCAGAAATCAAGAGATCCCCAGATACCAAGAATTCCCCAGATCCCCCAGAGCTAAGGAGCTCCTCAGAGGCTCCAGAGATCAGGACAATGTCTCCAGAACCCCCAGAGCCGCCTGAGACCAGTAGGTCTCCTGAGCCTCCAGACCCAGAAGCCCCAGAAGCTCCTGAGGCCCCAGACCCTACGGAGCCCCCAAAATCCCCGGACACATGAAGGATGTCAATGGGCGTCAGACGCAGCTCCACCTCTTGTTAGAGACAAGATTAGGTATTAATAAACAGACAGATGAAACTGAAACGGATCAATCAGGGTTGGACCCACAATGATGATTAGGTTAAATAGTCAGTGACAAATGGACACAGTGATTGAAAATGACACATTTAACCATTAACAGCTAGTTAAATGGAATACATGCACATGGGAAAGAGGATTGATGAAGATACAGATGATGATTTCAAAAGAATAGATTAGTGTATCTTTGTTTTGGGTGTTTTTCTCTTTAAGGGTAATGCTGCTTTTGCTCCATAGGCCTAAGGAAGAGCAAGACCCGCTCTTAAGTGATCTTTGGATATCAAGTAACTCTATATTTATGGGTGTGCAGACCTAAAGGTATGCTCTTTTTCAGACCTTTCTGTGTGTCTGGGCCCATGAGAACCCCAGATCCCCCTGAACCCTGAGGGATGAGCTGAGGTTTTAGGGGCAACTCTTCCTCCTGCTCCTCCTCCTCCTCTTCTTCATGTTCTTCCAGTGAGGCCTCGGGTACAGGGTAGTTATAGTCGGGTGGGGCCAGTGTTCCAATCTCTATCTAAGGGAAAGACAGCAGCAGTGAGTCAAAAACACATGAGAGGTGTAAGTAAGCAAACTTTATCAATATGAGAAAGGAAAATACAATTCTTCCAAAATAAAATAGTTAACCTAACTCTATTGTGCCACTGCAACAAAGGAATTATCTTAAAGTTGTAAACCAGTGTAATAATGGTGACAAACATAATTAACCACAGTTCTGAGCAGATGACAGAGAATAATCAGAAAACTGGAACTCCTTATTCAATTGATTTCAGTATGTAGTGCATCATCTCTTGACTGTTTTTAGAATATGACAGAAATACTTTATGCGTATACTGAATCATGGAGGCAACATGCAAAAGGTTTGACAATTAAATGAAAAGTGGCAGTATGTTGTGTTGCAGAACTTAGATGCTAATAGTCAGGGTCTTTAGGGCATTTTAATGACATGAATGTTGTCTATCAATCTAAATCTTTTGCATCTGTAAATGTATCAAAATCTATTACCAATTATCATTTAATAACAGTAACATCAGTTAACAAAGAGCCAATCTCTGGTACTATGTTAGTTCCCTTTTGGGTGCAAGAAAGAGGAGAGGAAGAATAGATTTCACATATTTAACCCACTTGAGGCAGATTACATGACATGTCAGCATAGAC